CAGACTAATGATATAGTTCCGTATGTTCTGGTTTTTAAGGAAAAGCAAATTCCTGGCAGTTAAATCAAATCCAGCAGCTTGGCTAAATAAGAACAACAAAGTTAATCAAAAAAAAAAAAAAAAAACACACAAACAAAAGAGAAAGACTCACAAGGCAGCAGAGGAATATTGTTCAAGACGGAGGGTGACTTGTTCAGCATCATGCTCATCTTCCTTTGCTTTCCAACTCAATCTGATACCACCCATGGTGGGCACGTGGAAGTATCGGACAGCAGGAGGAGAATAAGCATATAATAGTTTCAATAGATCAGGATCAAAGGGAGATGTCCTAGGGCTGTGGAAAGAAACCAAAGTTGAGTTTCATCAAAACAAAAGCAAAAGAAACAACTGACTTGGGTTCCATAGGAGCAATCCATTCAACAGTGTAAAAAGCAGTGGCCATGATTATGGGGAGGTGGGGGGAAAAAAAAACCTTTGACAGGTGTCACTTATATAGACCTGGGATATAATTGAGTTCTAAAAATAGAATGAAAGAATGGCAAAGTCTAGATTATTCTCACCATGTTCAGTTTCATGTATTCATAGTACAGGTCTAATTCAATAAAAATTGAATTGGATTAAATATACATGGGTTGAGGATTTGCAATGGGAACAAAGGAAAGTATATATCAATACTGAAATGAATAGATACTGGTGGTTCAAGAAGTCTTACTGGGAAGAGCTGGAGTTGATTTCCAAGCTGATACTCCCAATGCTCTTATACATATCATGTATGATAAAAGTCAAATAAATGGATGTGCAGATTAGATAGGATAACTGACAATAAGTGGTGAGGATATGATTACAGAGAGATTTGAGCATCTCAAAATCGACAATGTGTGTGGTAGAATGTACACTCGTAGGCTTTGAAGGTGCACATAGCAGTGAGAGTAGGTCAAGCTCAGAAAGTAAATTTGGTAGGGGCAATTGTTTGGACAAAGGGCAAAAAGGTGCACAAGAGGGATTTTGCTATAAAAGTAAATCAGAAATGATATCAATATGCAGAGATGTGGAAGGGCATGCATTCCGGAGCATTCAAAAGTAGTGTTGAATCAGTAAAATATGGAGCATTGGATATGAAATCAGGTCAGAATGCATATCAAGATTGAGAATGAGGGGGCTGTAAGTGCAATATAGGGTTGGAAAGGAAGGATTTTGAGAATTTAGAAAGAAGCTTCTGTTCAAACCAGGAGTGCCTTGCCATAGATTGAATATGGCAAGGCATACAGAGAGGCTAGCAAAGGGTCCACTGAGTGACTAAACTACTGCAAAACAGACAGAAAAGGACATATTTGAAAAGATATGTCTTTCCAGACAAAAGAGGGCAGGAAGGGCCCGAAACAAGTGTAGATAGGGCGCAAAGTCAAAGTCAAGGTTGAAGGAACCTGCTGCTGTAGCTCAATGGTTGGACTACCTGGATATATACAGGAAGACTGAGACATAGTCCCATTGATAGAAAAAAATAAAAAGAGTAATTAGAAAAGCAGAGAGCCTCAACAGGGATTCGAACCCTGGCCTTTTCATAAGAAATATGACAACTTCAAACAAACAAATATCTATCAAATGCTCTACCACTAAGCTATTGAGGCAATATTTGTGAATGTACTTGACTACATGGAGTGTCAGAGTGCAAAAAAATATTTCACCAACAAGAAACTGACATAGAGCCTCAACAGGGATTTGAACCCTGGCATTTTGATAATATATATCAGGTTACTCGTGGCCATACAAATTTATCAAACACTCTACCACTGAGTTATTGAGGCATAATAGTGAACATATTTGACTAGTTTTAGTGTCAAAAAATATTTGACAACAAGCTGAACGAAAGTCTCAATAGGGATTCGAACCCTAGCCTTTGAGTGATACCGATTTTCACTAAACGCTCTACCTCTGAGCTATTGAGGCTATGCATGTTGAAATCCAAAAATTGTAGATGTTACTGAAAAAGGTGAAAGTGTGGGAATTAATTAGATGCCCACTCGTGCTGGTAACAATTCACCTCTAGAGGGTACAAATGATAATTATATTGGAGTAATGTCAAAGGCCTTCAGAAATGTGGTAAATAGTGTAGATTGGATATGAAATCAAGTCAGAATGCATATCAATATTGACAATGAGTGCTCTAAATGCAATACACAGCCAGAAAGGGAGGTATTTGGGATTTTGGAATAGGACTTGCCTTCCCACCAGGACTGCCTTTGCATAGATCCCAAGGTGTGGAAAGAGGTTTTTGCTATGGATTGGAGCTAAGAATAATATCAATATCGGCCAAACTACTGAAAACCAGACATGAAAGAATGTTTCTGAGAGATAGAGGAGGAAAAGGGCATGGCCTTTCTGGGTGTAATATAGTGGAGTCCACAACAATAACTCGAGATGTAGCATTGAGCTGGCTATGGTATTGAGCAGTGTATTCAAGTACACCTCCATTTTAGTGGGGTCTCGAGACATTGAGGAGGACTAGTGAGACAAGGTGAGTGAGCTGGATCGGAGGCAAGAGTGGAATACGCGCGTCTAAAGATAATGGGACAGGCAAGTGCAACACCTAGTGAATGAAAAACAGTGGTACTTGTTGAAAAAAGTTGTAGATCAAATGATAAAACTGTTGATGCACATGTGACAAAGTTGCAAAGATTTCATGAAAAAGTTGTGCACAGAAACAGAAGGTACAAACTATTTGTAATTATATTCATCATAATCTGCTGTGCACTGAAACAGAGCAATATTCAACCAGGGTACAAGCACTTGGATTGATTTCCAAGTTTTTAACAGGCAAATGGCTGCTCATACTTCTACCAGGATTGTTATTCAACATGTCACAGGCCTTGAGAAATGTTCTGGATTGGATATGAAAACAAGTCAAAATGCATATCAATATTGAGCATGAGTGCTATCAAGAGAATTTAGAATAGACTGTACCACCAGAAAGGGAGGTCAATGGGCATTTTAAAGAGGTCATGCCTTCCAGCCAGGACTGCCTTTGCATAGATCCCAAGGTGTGGAAAGAGGTTTTTGCTATGGATTGGAGCTAAGAATAATATCAATATCGGCCAAACTACTGAAAACCAGACATGAAAGAATGTTTCTGAGAGATAGAGGAGGAAAAGGGCATGGCCTTTCTGGGTGTAATATAGTGAAGTCCACAACGATAACTCGAGATGTAGCATTGAGCTGGCTATGGTATTGAGCAGTGTATTCAAGTACACCTCCATTTTAGTGGGGTCTCGAGACATTGAGGAGGACTCGATGAAGACCAATATGAGTAGTGAGACAAGGTGAGTGAGCGGGATCGGAGGCAAGAGTGGAATACGCGCGTCTAAAGATAATGGGACAGGCAACTGCAACACCTAGTGAATGAAAAACAGTGGTACTTGTTGAAAAAGTTGTATATCCAATGAAAAAACTGTTGAGGAACACAGATGATAAGGCCACAAGAATGTCACGGACAGGTTGTTTACAGAGACAGAAGTTGCCCACTAGTTGCAAATATATTCTTCATAGTCTAATATGAACACATCCAATAAAGTGGCATTGATTTTATGGAAAGGTTGTGCACAGAAACAGAGGCCATAGCTCCAAGGCATACAATACATCATTGTCAACAATCGACTTGTGCATTGGCACTCAAACGTATTCCGGGGCTTTCGACTTTGCCATTGATCCAATGCACGTGCATGTATAGTCAGTGGTGCAGGTGGGTCATATCAATGTAGGCCATATATCCAATGCGTACAACACAATCAACCAGAGTACAAGCACTCGCATCAATTTCCGATTTTGTAATAAGCAGTTGTTTAACATGTCACAGGCCTTGAGAATGGTTCTGGATTGGATATGAAGTTGAGTCAGAATGCATATCAAAATCAACAATGAGGGCTTTCAAGGCAACATGCAGTCGGAAAGGGAGGTCATTGAGAATTTAGAATAGACTGGACCACCGGAAAGGGAGGTAAATGGGAATTTTGAACATGACCTGCCTTTCCACCAGGACTGCCTTTCCATAGATCCAAAGGTGTGAAAAGAGGTTTTTGCTATGGATGGGAGCTCAAAATGATATCAATATTGACCAAACCAGTGAAAACGAGACATAAACAGAGGTTTTGGAGTGATTTAGGAAGACTGGGTTTCCGGCTGGTTTGCCTTTCCATGAGAAAAAGGGCATGAAAGGCCCAAAACGCTAAGGGAAAGGGCATGCCCTTTCCGGGTGTAATATAGTTAGGTGTCAGTACGGCGTGAATTTATCGCCGGTCGGCGACGTACTCCCAAAGTATTGGTGTCAAACACCCGCGCTTTCAGTGTGTCTTGAACAGCATCGTAGGAACTGTCTGCCTCCGAGTCCGTGACAGTTACACGGACGTGGATCATCGTGTGAGGGGGGAGTTGAGCCCCCAGGGGTTTACCTTCGAAGTTCAACGATTTATTCGTTCGTTTCACAGTATGTGGTGCAAGGTGGCGTTGAACCATTTTCACCATTCTCGCTGCAAAAAATGCAACCCCCGTTCCCTCTGTCTGCTCCATAATTTTGTCCCGCTCCGTTAGCAGCAGAGCTTCTTGATGCGTTCGAACAGTGGACTTCCCCTTCAGAATTCGAAGATCTCGGGACATTCCCCGAAGATTGGACGTTTCGTCATCTACCATACTTGGCGGTCGGACAAGTAACGCAAGATTGACGAGATCCTATATGCGCATTGAATAAATGATTTCATAAATTAAATGAAACTTACATTTGGTGACTCAAGGAGGGGGGTAGCCGTCATCGGGACTTTAATCAATGAATCGTCAAAGATTGCGGAGAACGCCCTCCACAGCGCTTTCCCCGTTCGCGCGTCCTGTACCTCATCCAGAAAAGTCGAGACATACGGCATTGCATAAACAGTGTCTGCTTTCTGCTGGTATTTGAGCCGAGGAATGCCATCTAGCTGCATGATAGCAATACTTCGTTCATTCGCTGTAAACATTCGTTGAATTGTCTAATAAAAAGTTAGCACAAATTGCGGCGAGAATTTATCGCCACACTCACTCTCGCTGCCACGATCACAATCTGGTTGATCTTCGGCACCGTGTTTGTCCCCAGTACCTTCGCAATTTCGGCCTCCCAATGATCGGCCCTGTTTGAAATGATGTGCAGATGGATAGCGTTTCTTCGGAAAAACCGGGTAATCTCAGCTATCCATTGATCCATCAAACTATTAGGAACGACAACGAGGTGCCGCTCATTGGGTATTCCGGACTCTAAATTGCCGAAACTCGGCGCTAAAAAACAGCGTCAGTAGCCGGCGAGATTTTATCGCCGCTGGCACCTACCATCTCTCAAGCACGCAGGTAACTTGGACCGGTCCATTTCCTTCGCTTTCACCTTCTCCTGAATTTCATACAACGACTGCAGTGTCGCAATCGTTGCCAGCGCACACATGGTTTTCCCCAACCCGACCTCATCGAACAGACAAATACCTGGTACTGTTGCCCACTGCTCACGCACTGGTCGAATCGTCCGCTCGTTAGCAGGCCCACTGTGCAAAATATTCGGAAGGGCGGCTTTCTTAGGCGTCGTTAATGCTAACATCACGGCAGCCACAAACACAAACTGATGCCAGCTGATCTTCACCGGTGTACTGTTCAAAAACGGTTTGTCACCGTCAGGGTCAGCCAACATCCCTGGTTCGTCCGCCGTGTGTCTTCGAAATGCTAAAGGGAGTCCGTCCTCGGGTAGTCCCAAATATTCATGCAGTTTTTTGTCGTCGTAACTCCTGAACTCCCCGACACCAATGTCTGCCCCATCCGACTTGTAAAGCAGGAGAGCTTCATCCACCTGCGGATTCTCATACATCGAAATCGCCGTCCGCAGAGCCGAGTCATCTCGTTCAACCCATTCTTCTGCGAAGTCCGCTAATTCCAACGCAAACGCCTGGAAATCACTCTCACTAGGAGTTGGGATGTTCTCGATCTTCTTCCTCGGGATGCTTCTCGCTAACACCCGCCCATATCCCACTACAATGTACTTAGCATCACATCACAATACATTTCCACGCCCACGTACCTATCTTTTCGTCGTAGCCACCTGCATCGAAGTTCACTTCGATAGTTTTTGAGGTTTTTGCTTCAATGACTCCGACGAGCCACCCAATAAGCATTTGACAATACTCTAACTTCTTTCCCTGGTCACTCAGACGTGACCACCTCGCTGCAATTGCCTTCGACGCTTCCGTTGATTCAATGTCAATCTCCTCCTCTCGGATTTCATCGTCCTCCTCGGTCGTGACTTGCCACGATAGTTGCGACTTCCAGTGCTGCATCTTCTTGAACACACTCCGCGCCTTCTTAACATCAAAGTTCTGCGGCACCTCGAAACTTTTCCAGAAGTCGGGACCAAGGATTTTCTCCAGCTCCGTTTGAGTGGCGTTGAGCGAATCTGTCGCTCGCTTGCATTCCTTCGTCGCCGCGTCCAAGTAGGTCTGAATTACCCCATTCAGCCACGTTTTTGCTGTGTCCGGCGGTGTAATATCCTTCCCCTTGATCGCATCTCCAAACACTTCTTCCAAAAAACTATCCTGCCGTCCCGTCCACTGCGTAAGCGGAACAAACCCTCTCACGACCCGTCCCTGTTCGTCCTTCTCCGCGTACAACTTCACCCACGCAAGATACCGGTCCCGGATACTAAATCCCACATTATCCAAAGCGTCCTTCAACTGAAATATTGTCAGATCATTTCATCTGCCCATGCATTCAAACTCACAGGCCCATCCATGCAGCTACCCCATCCTTCGCTCTTGTTCGACAGTGCAACGTCATTGAGATCCCGATTTTTGAAGTTGTATTTCTCAATTTCCGCCCTCCCCCCCTTTTTAAGATCTTTCAAGTGTTCGTGGATATGCTTCCACCGCCCTCCCCACTTCTCCTGAAACTGCGCGGGACATGTCGGCTCCCAGAAAGGTGGCACGTTGAATCGGCGTAACTGAGCAGTGAGAACGCTTTCCTTTTCAAACAACGTCCCATCTCCATCGACAAGTTTCTCAGCTTTCAGGAGGTTACGGTTGTTGAGGATGAGATGAACGAGGAGCGCAAATTTACGGTTCGAGGACATTCTTATCGAGTGCTAGATGAGATTATCTTAGACTGAGTACCCCCTCTTTCCTTACACTCACGAAAACGGCGAGAATATACGTACCAGCAGTTGAAGGTTCGAAAACGGCGATTTTTTGCAGTTTACAAGTGTCTTACAAACGACTTATTCTCTCTACAGAGATGGTTGTGGTTCGAGTTTAAGAGACGTTTAGCCGAGATGGCTTCTAATTACCCTTGTTTGTTTAACTATACAGCTTGTTCCCACGATCATCCAGTTCCAAGTCACGCGACTGTTCGATTTCAGCGTGGCCTTTGATGATCTGGCGAGATTATCTCGCCGCCTGCGTAGCTTGCCCGAGTTACGTAATTATCCACTCTCACTGCTCCCGCATGTTACGTCTTATTTTACATTTTTACCTAATTTCCCGTGAACATCATCGTCCAATTTGGCGAGAATTTCTCGCCGCTCACGGACTGGAGTGTCTGACCTCACTAGCGTCCAATCTGTCAGCTCAAATTTCTGAGGTAAATCTTTTGTTTTTATTTAATCCCAAAGTGGCGAGAATTTCTCGCCGCTCCTGCACACCCTTTCTCCGCCTGACTTTCACTTCCCCATCGTGCTTTTTTACTCAAACATCAGGTTCAACAAGCAACTCGGTTATACTTTTACACCGCACTCGTCAATTCAGCCTGGTCACACTTCGAAATTACTTACCTGCTTGTTCACCCTCTGTTCGGCGACACTGTACGGCCACTCAGGCACTCAAGTACTTCTACCTTTTTTGCCTCCATGTTTTCTAGCGCTCACATTCCTTTTCTTTTCTACAGCCTGAGTGTCCGGCGTGAATTTATCGCCACCCACCAGCGCAAACTTCATGCTTACTGACTCAAATTTTCCAACCCTTGCTGTGAGAATACCTCATTGATGCCGGCGAGAATTTACCGCCGCGCAAGGTTGCCTCCAGGATATTCATTACACTTAATGCAATAACACAAGAACGACCGATATTGACGTTCCCCCTCCACCCCCCCCCCCACGGGGGACCGTCAATATCGGTCATTCTTGTGTTGTTGCAATAAGCAGTGACTTGGACGGAATTGCCTTATATGGTAATCACAGCCACCAGGGGTCGACCCCCTACCGCCGTTTTCGAAACTTGTATATAACCCCTAAGTACACTGCTGAATGCACTGCTTGATCAAAAGTGATAGCAATGAGGACTGGGAAAAGTACACTGCTGAATGCACTGCTTGATCAAAAGTGACAGCAATGAGGACTGGGAAAAGTACACTGCTGAATGCACTGCTTGATCAAAAGTGATAGCAATGAGGACTGGGAAAAGTACACTGCTGAATGCACTGCTTGATCAAAAGTGATAGCAATGAGGACTGGGAAAAGTACACTGCTGAATGCACTGCTTGATCAAAAGTGACAGCAATGAGGACTGGGAAAAGTACACTGCTGAATGCACTGTTTGATCAAGTCTGCAGTCCGAGTTTTGGCTTTGGCGCGATGTGGCTGTGCCAGGTTCCCACGCTACACTCCAATGAAGAAAAAAATGAAAATGAAGAGGCGGGTCTCAGCATTATAAATCTTCAAGAATTTCCTTAAAAGGTGAAAAACTGCGCCCTCTATAGGCAGTACAAGACAGAATTGCCCAGTATGGTAGAAAACTCTGCCAGCAGGAATTGCCAAGTATGGTAGAAAAGCGCAGGAGTTACTCAAAGAGGAAATAAAAAGCAGGCAAAAAAAGCGCCTCTGAGGAAATCTCGGAGGGGGGAAAGAATACGGAAATTAGTTCCCACGCTTCATGGAAAACTTGAAAAATTGAAAATGAAGAGCGGAGAGAGGCGAGTCTGATGATGTAACTGCGACCTTATGCGGCGGAATCCTCACGGTGCTATAAACAAAACAAAACAACAAGTCGGATGTGAATTATGCATCAACCAGTGCTCCGATTTGAATGATACTGGTGGGTGACCCTAGGTTATTTTGTAGTGCGAGTTCAATGGTGACATTTGCGTGACCAGAATCGGAGTATATTCTCCACTAATGTAAAGATGTCTCTCAATGTACATAGTGTTGAGCTTGCTATACACAGTGATGTATAGCACAGCAATGGGAAAGGAGCTTTCCATGGCCCACTGTGTAGAGCAGTGTGTTGAGCTCCCTGTGTACAGTGCTGAGCTCCCTGTGTACAGTGTTCAGCTATCTGTATACAGTGTTGAGCTCCCTGTGTACAGTGCTGAGCACTTGAGTTGATGTGGAAAGCTATGTCAGAAGGCTATAAAAGTGCGCTTTTTTGGACCCCCGTGGGAAAAACTTGGTCAAGAATCGAACAAGCCAAAAATTTTACGTATGGAATTTTCAAAATTCTGTACGTAAAATCTCAGAGACGTTTACGTATAGAATCACTTTCAATTCTATACGTAAAATGGACATCTGGGCTGACAGTGGACAGTATTGAGCTCACTGTCTATGACGACGTCGAGCTCACTGTCTACGACGATGACAACGAGCTCACTGTCTACGACAATGACAACGAGCTCACTGTCTATGACGACGTCAAGCTCACTGTGTACAACAGCAATGACAAGCTCACTGTATCTGACAACGTTGAGCTCACAGTCTACGACGATGACAACAAGCTCACTGTCTACGACAATGACGACGAGCTCACTGTCTATGACAACATCGAGCTCACTGTCTATGACAATGACGACGAGCTCACTGTGTATGACGACGTCGAGCTCACTGTCTACAACAGCGATGACAAGCTCACTGTGTCTGACAACGTCGAGCTCACTGTCTACAACGATGACAACAAGCTCACTGTCTATGACAACATCGAGCTCACTGTCTACAACAGCAACAACAAGCTCACTGTGTCTGACAATGTTGAGTTCACTGTGGGAGATGATGACCAGCTCATTGCATACAGTGTTGAGCTCACTGTGGAGGACAATGACTAGCTCACTGTCCAAGACAATGACCAGCTCATTGTATACAGTGCTGAGCTCACTGTGTAGGACAGCATAGAGCTTGTTGTGGACAGCATTGAGGTCACTGTCTGAGACAACATTGAGGACACTGTATACAGTGTTGAGCTCACTGTGTATGGCAATGAGCAGCAGCATTGAGCACAGTGTGGAGGTCACTGTGGGCAACAGTGGTGGTGAGCTCACTGTGTAGAGTATTCTACTCACTCTGTAGAGTGTTGTGCTCACTGTGTAGAGTATTCTACTCACTGTGTAGAGTGTTGTCCTCACTGTGTAGAGTGTTCTACTCACTACGTAGGCCAGTATGGGTGCAAAGGAACTAGACCGGTAATAGAGGTGTAATATAGATATAGCTACATGATCCTGTGTGTCCTGGGGACCATATTGACCACTGGCACTTGATACGATATGCAGCGGATGTGAGGATCCTGGGCTGCGAGTGTCAGGAGGTGCGGGAAATGAGTGGCAAGAGTCGCCAAGCTCTAGAGAGCCAAGGATGATGACTAATCATGCATGTTAGGATAGAATCCTGTAGAGGAGAAGGTAAGGAAGATATTATCTGCCATCATGGAGTGGATTGGAGGAGCGGATTGAAGGATTCTGGCGAAACAGATTTGAGGTAGTTTTAGGGTGGCCAATGGAGCATTGGCCAGCTCCCATTCTAACAGGTATACGCGTTTGCCAGTCCCAGGATCCTTGTAAGTGAAAATAAGAGCTACCAACGTCGGTAGAAGAGGTATGAATTCGCCTGTGGTTTTATCGCTGATTTGATAGGGGCACCTTTCGGGATCGATCCGTTTATCAGGTACTGGAGGGGGGTGGTTGCAAGGCCTACGAAAAGGTACCCAGCATTCATAGCAGAATGGCCAGAACGCAGCAGACTGCATCTTAAGTCCCTTGAGGGTAGCAACAATACTTGCAAAACCCCAGAAACGGTCATGCACCAGTTCTTCTGAATGGAACTGTCCGGCGACCCAACAATCAGAACAGCCATTAAGGACTACAGACTCCATGATGGCATTGAACTCCCTGAGTTGTTTTTCCCCCCCGTCGTATTTTGAATTGAGAACAAAGGCATTGGCAGCTACGGAATTGGCTGCAAGTTCCTTGACGCCGTGAGGTTGGACGGGGACGAGTTTCTTGTCGAATCGAGGGACGTCGACTTCGGAAAGAGCATAAGGCGTCTTTGGGAACAATGAGAGAGAAGAGGTAGGTGGTGAGAAAAAACACGCACCAAGGATAACTTTTCGCAGTTCGAACAAAGTTCTCCGTTCAGAGCTATGCACGAATGAACCTCTCTATCAAATGCAGCTAAGGCCATTCGTAGACAGCCTACGGTTTCTAAAAAGAGAATCATATCGAGTCTACCAACATGATCTATGGCCGAGGGATCTTTGGGAGGGAAAGGAAGTTGAGTCCACAAGCAGTAGCAGAGAGCAGGGAATCCGTCCCGTCCAGCTCGCCCCGCCTCTTGGTAATAATTAAGGAGCTCCCTCGGATCCTTGTGGATTACAACACGGACGGAGGGATAATCAACGCCTTGCCCAAACGCCTGAGTTGCAACGATCCATCTATCCTCGGGTAAAGCTCCGGTTCTCCAACGCCACTCTGAAGCCTCCCTCTCCTTGTTGTTCATCTCACCTGTGTACATAGGAAAGCCAAACGAATCTCGGACATCCCTCGCCTCCTTCAAAGTAGAAAGAAAGAGAATACCCCTGTCGCCTTCCGTCATCTTTCTCGTTTCATTGCTCAGGAGCTCCCTAATCTTCTCCAGGTACCCCTCCTGTTCAATCTTCTCCACGGAGTATTTGAGATTCGGCCGTCCACTGTAACGGCGAATTTCGTCCACAAGCGCGACGTCGGAGATCTCCATTGCTTCAAGAATAGCAGGCATAGATCGAGGCATTAAAGACCCGGATAGGAAAGTTATGGGGATAGAGGCACGAACGAGATTGGGAAAACGTTTGAAACAGGCCCGGAAGTCAGAATCAGTCACAATCTTGTGAGCTTCATCGATGA